TTTATTTGTTTCCCAATTCAGTGACTTATTTTGTCGACAACTAAGTATTACTTTTCGAGCACTTCCACAGGGAAAGAAGGGGGAAGGAGGGATTAACATACTAGCCATTCAGTAAGGCTTGATTAAGGAGAGGCACAAGATGGCGTCCATCTGTTCCCATTATGTCACCCGTAATATAAATGCGATGTGATTTCCTTGCGTGGTACTCCGGTGTCTAATCCCTAAAGTGGGTAGCCCAAGACAAAACGATGATACGGCTGCGTCTTAAAAAAATACTGAACACGGGCTATTTTATCTCTTCAGTAGTTACTCACCACTACGTAGAAATGCACAAAATGTGTTAAAGGTGTAAATATAGAGGAAAAAAAAAGGCAAAAACAGGTGTCGGGATAGAGCTAACTCCCTCTTCGTTTCTCGCAAGAATCTAGACCGAAATGGTATTGCGTAGGTACTCCGGTGCCAGGCCATTAAAGTGGGCATGACAGAGAAACTGATCACAGAAGAAAAACAATTTTTGCACAGCAGCAGCCTCAGTAGAGTTCTCTTCGTAACATACTATTATTGATAAGAGCCATCTGAATGTCGCCACTAAGCTAAATCCCCTCAACCGGCTTAATAGAGCTGAACTGAAGAAGCTTGCAGCAGACAGCTTGCTCCATCCTCTTTCACGGATTCCAGACAGACAGACACGCAGAGATGCTGGATGCAGCAGCTCAAAATCAATGAATGATATACAAATGCAAGGAAACCCTAGCCTAAAATAACAATACGTAATAACTAGCAGACGGAAGAGACCAGACATTAAACCAAAAGAAAACGACCGCAAATTGAGGGAAAGGGAGGCTCAGTTTCTTGCTCGCTGATATTCTCATTCTCGAAGATGATGAGGGCGACGGCAACGACGACAAAGGTACCGTAGAAGACAGGGATGGCGACGAGAAATTCCCGCTGTTATTACTACTACTTGTGCTGCTACTGCTACTACTACTAGCTTTTATAAACCCTTTCATTTTGTGACGCTGTCTGAGTCGCAGTGTCTCGTTGCTTACCACTTTTTTTCTTCAGACATCCGTAAACTCGTAAAATTTTGTGGAAATTTTTTCGCGGAGGGAGCACTTTTATTGCGAATAATGTATAGACTGGGAACGAGTTGGACGGAGCTATTAGTGATGGTATATGTGTAAAAAAAAGTTAATCAAATCAACAGGAGTGTTTCAGCCCGTAAAGTCACATGCATTTCTTTTCAGCACTACGATTGACCTTTTCCTCTTTCCCGTGAACCGGCTCGGATAGCCTTTCTTGAACACTGTCCGGCATGCACACCTTACGGAGCACTTTCAGGTTCATCGCAGTAGTAGTTGCGTAATTTTCACTTAGCCAGAAAGTCATATCTTAGAAAAGCAGTCATTGAGCAAAGTAGAAAAAAACATGCAAAGAAAAGGTCAACAAACAAAAGTAAGTTAGCAAGTTAGTTTTTCGTGACCGGCGAGTCAGAGCTGCATCCCTGTCAAATACCAATCACTGTTATTTCAGGATTATAACCAATCTGATTTATAAATTTTACTGGCTTCGAATAGATCCACTAGGGAACCTCAGTTTTCACGTTCTCCCTCCGAAAGTAGTGCACCCTCCTCTTAGTGAAGCGTCCTATTTGTTCAGTTTTAGCGCCTCAACGAGGTTCAAAAGTCAATATTTCCTCTTCAGCGCATTTTAGTACATTTCGACTGATTTTAATAATTTATATGTTGATTTTGCACTTTTCATGGCTTAATTTTGTACCATTCTTGTGAAAATTTTTGTGCGTTTTGATGCATTTTTGTTACTTTCTCGCTAACCTCTGCGTCCCTTCTGCTAAATTCCGTGTTATTCGAATTAGTTTTTCGCAGTTTTCTTACTATCGGCGATTTCGGCTTCCAGTCGAAATGAAATGGTTGACTCCCACAAACGTTACCGTCTTCTCCTGGCCACCCGATAATTTTCCACCCCTTTGCTTCTGTTTTTTATACACGCATTTATCCATATTTGCTTTCCTCGCCCTTCGATCCTGACTTCGTATCTGCAGTTGGTACTCAACACCTGTTCCATGCTCGTTTCCCACTTTTTCGAGGACCGCGCAATTGGTCATGTGCTTTCTCACGAGTGTCATTCACTAGTGCACAGTGTCCGCCGGTGGTCAGCATGTACTTCATGTGTGCCACTAAAATGATTGGTACTGCAGAAACGGATCTGCGGACGAGCACTTCCTAAGCTGTACGTCCGCATTTTGCCGGGCTGTTTCATTACGTACGCACACACTCTCTCTCTCCAGAGGCTATCTCACTGATTATTTCCAACCCGTGCATTATGTGACCAGTTGTCAAGAAACACACTACACGTTATTCCTCTCAAATTTTATTTCTCTGTTATAGTCACAACGACAACTATGCTTGCGCACGCATACACACACACACACGCACACACACACGCACACACACACACACGCACACACCTGCACACATACAAGCATTTGCATATTCAGCCCTAAAAGGCCTCTAAGTACTGGAAAATTTAAAATGGTACTAAGTTGCTGATAGAAATGATGAAGTTAAGTAGTTTTAAGAATTAAACCAAAGGGGTAGGACGTTTCTTCCGACAGCATGTGCAATTTGGTCGTGGTGTAGACGAAGGAAGGAAAACAGTCGAATTTTTAAAAAAAAGGTGGTCGAACTCCCAAAAAAAGGCATTTAGGTGTGTCAGTATACGAACCAGTATTTAGAGTTGGCGACGTCTGTGTTTCATCCCTGAACTGTAGACACAGACGGCAGAA